ACTGAATCCCACTGGGTCCACCACGATAGCCACATTGCTCCATGAATTTGTCATAAATAAAAATAATGCCTGACAGCATAAAGCTAGGGAGATTTTTCTTCTGTGATTTTTATATCAGGGTCAGCAGATGTAATTTTATTTTGGACAGCAAGGACCATTTAATAGTACTAGCATTTATGACCTGCAATCTAAGCATGCTTCTAGCTAGCAGCTTTTAATGTATTAGTGCCTTGAAAACATGTATAAATGTAATTGTTATGAGCTCCTCTATAATTATAAAAGTATCTAAAGCACTCACAAGTAGGTCTCTGTAGAGCCTGTCTGCAAAGGAACTGAAATTTACCTGATGTCTTATGACAGGAAAACTTGACTGGTTCTTCTCACAGCTAGGTGTCGAGAGTGCAGACCCTGCACAAACTCCCCCACAGTGGTGAATCCTAAGCCTCTTCCAAACACAGGTTCCCAGCTGCCCTCTGCTTTTCGAACGTGGACAAATTTTGACCAGGGAATAAGAGGAGCTGGTCAACCCAATTTTGTGCTCATGATGGATGGAAAGCTTTAACCCAAACTCCTAAAGATGAAAGGCTGTTAGGTTAACCTGCTATGCCACTGTATACTCTAAAATAGATTCCAGATTTTGTATGGCACTGGCATTTCTTTGCATGGTCCATCACTAACCATGGTTAATTCTTTATTTGGGCTACTTGATAGAGACTGAGACCCCATGGGTTCTCTCTCCCACTCTTGGTAGTGTCTCATGCCTCCCTCAGTGTGGCCTCAAATCTGGCCTAGAGTCCATCAACAATGGATTGTATTCTGGGCCTTGTTGCTTAGTGAGGTTAGTGAAGGTATATATACATGGCACAAGCAGCTTGGGTATTAGAAGCCGCATAGCTACATCAGCACCTCATTCTGCCTGGGCTAATCTCTGCTTCTCAGTAAGGCTAATGTGCTTGAGCATAGAGCACTGCCATACCTAATATGTCCCCAAGATAGATGCTAAAGGGAGCAGCTGATACTGCCTAGGGGGTATTGAGACTTGTATGGGAAAAAAGGTGATGATAAAGTATTTCTCTATCCAACTGCATTTAATAACCATGAGCCAGGTCCCACAAGCTGTTACCTGTCAGCTTTGTGTTCTTGAGGGAACCCTGGCACCCAGTTTACTGGACTTACAAAGGACTTTTCCTTCTCCCCTCCTCCCCCGACACCTCATCTAACCAGAACTAAGCAGAAGAAAAGTTTAATAGGCATCTCAAGCCATAGATTCCTCGGTCCCAGTATGGGAAGCCTATTTAAACTTGATTGACTAAAACTTGGTCGCCAGGTTAGGAAATGTTGAGGCAAGAAACCGAGTCAGAGGGGGTATGAGCCACATTTTAACAATGGTTAAGGGTTCATCACAATGTCCAGCCCGTTTGGTGCCCTGACCACAAATGCTGTCATACTTTCCCAGGATGACTGGTGGAATTCCTCCCCACAAAGTTTATGAACACTCCAAGTGTCCCCCTAAGTCGACTGCAGTAAGATCTGGAAGTCATGCTAAGCTGAGGTTTGTTAACAACAGGTAAAATGCAAAACATTGATGCTGACTTCACAGTGCAAGCATAGCTAGGCCATCTGAGAAGAAATAATGTGGTATCCTTTCCAGTTTATCTTCTATATTCATAATCATTTCAAGCTGGCTCCTAGGTGTCTGGTTACTCCTTAACAACCAGGAAAAACAAAGCTTTAATCAGTTTCTTGAGACGTTCCAAACCAGATAACCCTTTGTCACTGGAAAAGGTAATTAATTTAAATTGAAACTGTTTATATAATAGGATTTTCCCTGTCAATTATGGCTTTGGACCCTCTTGATTTACACAATTAAAAGAATGCTTTGAAGAGGCTGGGCTAAGGGTATAAGGAAGGTGTAAAGCAGCAAACAGTGTGCTTCAAGAGGGAGAAATCTCTCTGACACCATCTGCTGTTGTTCTAGAGATCGTCTCTGTTTAACCTTCAACAATCATGCTGGGAACTTTGCCTGTCAACAGAACACCCAAGTGCCTTGAAATGGTGAGATCCCACCTCCCTCTCTCTCTCTCTCTCTCTCTCTCTCTCTCTCTCTCTCTCTCTCTCTCTCTCTCTCTCTCTCTCTCTCTCTCTCTCTCTCTCTCTCTCTCTCTCTCTCTCTCTCTCTCTCTCTCTCTCTCTCTCTCTCTCTCTCTCTCTCTCTCTCTCTCTCTCTCCATAGCTTTCTGAACCTGAATTGTATTAGTTAAGCTTGAGCTAGGTTTCCCTAAATACTCAATTGAATCAGGGTAATATTGTAATTGCTTTTGTTTGTTTTTCCTTGCATGGCTATTATTTCTAGTATCATCATAAATTTCATATACTTAGCAATAAATAACTTTTATAGTCAAACTGGTAGTAACCAGGTGTATTTTTCCTTCTCTACTTCCCCTTTCCCACTTGCTCTGCAGCAACATTTATTTTACCTAAGCCAAAGATCCCTGTAAAGCCCCAAAATACTGTGAGGTCTGCTCATCAAGAGGCTACCACTACTAGGGCAGCTAGGGCAAAAGATTGGGATGTGCGGAGTTTGAGACATAAGGGGATCAGCTTGTACAGGCTGATTGACCCAGTTTGGCTCAGATGTGCCCAAATGAACTGAATGCTGGCCCACGAGGGTGTCAGCTGGACACCCAGCCTGATTCAGAGGTATTCTGTTCACCTGTGTGCTTGTGTCTGACTGCATTTTATTGTTGCCCTGCTCAACTGATTCCTGGCATATGAGAGTGTTAGCCTGTACATGCTGATCAACCCAGCCGGGTCAGGCGTGTCACATTAATCTGTGTGTGTGTGTGTACTTGACTGATTTGGTGGCTGGAGGAACCCAGCCCAACTGAAACTGAGTCCAGCAAGATAGTTCCACTGGGGGTAAGGACTTGCAGAAGTGAGAGATACAGCTCCATACAGAAACACAAGCAGAACATTGAATTACAGAGACCCCAGAAATGTACCCGTAATAAATGAGTATACCCCAAAGTGATGGGCAAATCTGATAACAAAGCCTCTGAACAGTAGGGGTTACAGAGAGGGCAAGCCAGGCAAGTCACTCTAGCTGGTTTGGTTTCTGTGCAGTAGTTAATGTGCATTTAGAAGTGGTTAAGAAATGAGGAAGACAAATTCCGAAGTTTATGGGTAAAGGCAGATACACTGGGGTCCTATAAATCACAGCCTTGTCTGATACCAGGTACAGGTGAACACGGAATAATTCTCCACATTCATAAATCATTAATAGAAACAACACTGGCACATTCCAGGTGCAAAGCAAGGTGTGGGAAGAGGAGTGAGTCGGAGGGGAGGGGAGTAAAAGGGAGAATGTGTGGGCTGAGAGGAAGCAAAGCCACACATTTTTAATTATGAACTCTCATTCCCCTGCACCTTATTTGAGGGTCTGTCCCTGTTGCTGTAGTACACATAGCTCCTATTGAAGTGAACACAGCCAGCTTGCTCTCCACCTCTTACAGACTAGATGCAGGTGACGTGAGCAAAGGATTTGGACATGAACTGTAAACAACACAAAGCAACCTCCTCCCAGATTTATATTTTGGCTCCTTGACTCAGGCAGCACAGAGTGGCACCCACTAGATGGGGCTGCCAGCAGCAATGATTACGTGTGCATTGCTTCCTGGCTACACAATGATTTAAGAACTGTTGACGGATGGGGGAAAAGTGATCGTATTTTAAAGCTTATGCATTCTGCAGCTTGGTACCTGTTGAAGACAAACAATCTGTTCACAACACAAATGCTGTCAGGCCGGTACCCTAAGTCAGCGCCAAATTGTTTTCTGCTCCCATCAGGGAATAAGGCACTTAACCACTCTTATTTAGAATTTTGTCCTTCATCCTTTACACGTGCCAAACTCCAAGTGATGTTAGTCGACTGCCGTTACCATCAGTGGAAGCTGTGTGCAACGACAAACTACAAGGGAGAGCTAATATATCCTATGCCTCTGAACACAACATTGATTAACCTGGTTCACAGTGTTGACTTTTTCAGGTTAGATTCTACATTTTGCTTCTAATAACAGATAGACCACTTGTAAATAAGATAATTAAGACCTAGACCCAAGAGAGAATAAATCAGTAGTGTAATGCTGGGGCACATGGGGCACAAGCCCTGGGTGCTGTCTGGAGAGGGAAGGGCACCAGACTGGAGCTGTGGAGGGAGGGCCCTCATCCACCCCCACCTATCCCTCCTTTCGTCCCCTCCACACTTTGCCCCTTCCCTGCAGCAGCTCTAGCTCCAGCAGTGGAAAGGGCAGAGATGTGGCATCTCCCCGAGCAGCAGTGAACCTCTGCCTCCAGCATGTGCCAGCACCACCCAGGTCACAGTAGTGGCCAGTTATGCCTTTGAGAGTAACATTTCTATGTCGCACGTATTCCTAATGTTTGAATTTTCTTGTCCTAGTGAACGGATTATCCCAGCACATCCTCACAATGTCTCTCCACAAGTAGGCCTGCATATGTGAAATAACCAGGAGCGGAGGATATGCCTGCACTTTGTTTTTTGTGGAACAGAGAGAGAAGCTCTTCATCATGCTCGATGGTCCGATTTCAATGCAGCAATTGCACCAGTGAACTTTTTCAACCCTATCAACCCTTGCTTAGGTGGAACTGATGCATGTGCAGGCACTGATGTTTGGTTTGGGGGTTTTTTCACTTCTATAACCCTGCTAAATCAGTGGGAAATTCGGGTGGAAAAGAAAATGGAAGGGGCAGTCCCTCCATTGTGCTATAAGAAGATCTCCCTGGCATCCAGTGAGGACAGAAAGAAAAAGGAAGGGGCAAATTTAAGGGACTATAAATAAAAAAAGGACAAAAAGAACCTGCTACTCGTACAACAGGGCAGCGGCAGGATTACAGCTACAGGTGACCGGAGAGAAGCCTGGCTTGTTGCTGCCACCAGTGTCTCCTTGGAAACAGGACGGTAAACTCCAAGTTCCTGAAAAAGGAGCTGGCCAGGATACGTAAATATGTAAACTGAGACAGACGGACAAGGAATCTCTCCAGTCGGTTTTGGGGCTTGCGATAGCCCTGCATCAATTAACATGAGCCGCCCAATCACAACCAGGGGGCTGTGACAGAGAGAAGGAGGAGGAGGTGAGGGGGAGACAGGACAGCTTCCCAAGCTGAAGGAGAAAAGCGTCCATAGTTTCAAGTAGAAGCAACAGGTTCCAAATTATCATTAAAAGGTAAAGGTTTTTCTCTTTCATTTGCTACCTGGAGATTTTTATGTATTAATTATACTGGGTTTCAACAGTAGAAAATAGTCAGCTGTTTTATTATTAAAGCTAAAGCCACAGCAAATAATGATACTTTTGCTCCTTGTGGTAGAAAGCAGACCAAAGCTGCTGAGGGGACATTATAGAGAGGAGAGGTTTAAAATACGGCAAAATGCTGTATCAGCTGATGGTTTCAGGGTGCGGTGCTTCTCAAGTGACAGAACAGAAACTTGGCAAGCAGATGTGCTGGTTCAATGCTCGTAGTATTTGTAGGGAGTGTTACCATTAAAAACAACAAGAGATGGCATTTGTTTAGATGATTAAGTTTTCACAGAATGTGACCTCTTGGCATTAGGAATAGCACGCTACGTGGCACTTAGACAGAGGTTGTCACTTTGGGACTGCTACTGTCATCTATATAATAAAGCCTGTTTGTTCACTTGTCACACCAATGTGTTTTTAGGGAGATAAGGCTGGACTTCCTAAGAGCATTCCCTGGGGCTCGATACAGACTTGGGCTGGTAGCGTGGAATGAGGTGATGTACAGAAAGTCAGATGAAGTGAGTCAGTCATTCCTCTTGGCCTTAAAGTTCTGATTGCAAGGGGATTAGGCACCCAGATGGCATTACATTTCAGTGACCTCTTTGAAGAGACCTGCCTGGCATTTCATTTTTCTAAGAAAAAAATGCAGTCCTTGACCAAAGCACCATAGCCAGTAAAAGGCAACAGCTCGGGCTAAAACCTGAAGTTATCCCATACAAAACTGTTTAATGTTAAGAAATTAAATCAACAAACCAATATATCCTTCTTCACTTATGAGTGTTATCTGCTGCTTTCATGTAGTAGGAAATCAAGGCCTACAAAAATCAGTATAATGACATTTCCATTTTTTTTTCACTGCCAGTAACATTCATAAACCACATGCAAAGCAACACTATTAAGCATAAATGTACAATCATTTAGAGCTAGATCCAGAAACGGACTTGTGAGTTGGGTGCTGCAATGCTTAACTTAGAGACACTGGGGCCTGAAGCAGACACTAGGATGTGGGTTGAAGTGGGTACGCTAGTAGGAAGAAACAGGCTGCAAGCGGATCTAGGCAGGTTACAGGGGTGGGCCGAAGAGAACAGGATGGGGTTCAACACTGACAGGTGCAAGGTACTGTACCTGGGGAGGAAGAACCCGTGGCACACCTACAGACTGGGGAACTCCCTTCTCACAGTGTTGAGACAGAAAAGGATCTTGGAGTCATCATTGATGCCCCAATGAACATGGGCCGACAGTGTGGGGACGTGGTCAAGAAGGCCAACTGTACCTTGTCATGCATCCACAGATGCATCTCAAGCAGGTCCAAGGAGGTGATCCTCCCCCTCTATGCAGCACTGGTCAGGCCACAGCTGGAGTACTGCATCCAGTTCTGGGCACCACGCTTCAGGAGGGATGTGGCCAATATGGAGAGGGTCCAAAGGAGGACCACCCGCATGATCAGGGGGCCGCAGGGCAGGCCCTACAAGGAGAGGCTGACGGACCTGAACCTGTTCAGCCTCCAAAAGAGAAGGCTGAGAGGGGATCTAGTGGCAGTCTACAAACTAGTCAAGGAGGATCAGCAGGCACTGGGAGAGTCCCTGTTCCCCCAAGCACTCCCGGGAGTTACAAGAAACAACGGACACAAGCTAGTGGAGGGTAGTTTCAGGCTAGACATTACGAAGCACTATTTCACTGTCAGGGTGGCTAGGACCTGGAACCAACTTCCAAAAGAAGTGGTGCTGGCTCCTACCCTGGGGGGTCTTTAAAAGGAGGCTGGACGAACATCTGGCCAGGGTCATTTGACCCCAGTACTCCTTCCTGCCACAGCAGGGGGTTGGACTAGATGATCTCCTCAGGTCCCTTCCAACCCTACCAACTATGAAACTATGAGACTCCAGAACCCATAGGTTCCCTATGCAGTAGGTGAGGAGAATTAAGCACTCCCACAACAACCAGCACACTGAGTAGGGAGCCATCTAGAGAAAGCCCATAAGGAGATACCAGTGACAGGATGTATCTTTAGCCCTGCTCCGACCTGGGATTTAGGCATGCTATGATGTCTGTCAGGCGGCACCTCCATCCACTTAGACCCCACAGCTCAAAAACTCTGTACCCAGAGTACAGGTAACTACGTCCTTTCAAAAGAAGCAGCACAAGTTTCATGGCCAGAAGAGGACATGGTGGGGGTAGTGGGACCCCCATCCTACAGTGCCACCCAGCTCAGCCACAGTCCCATTGTACAGGAACCTCAATCTCAGGGATTACAGTCCCTCCTCCAAGAACTGTTGGTATATTTTTCCAATTACTGTTTAATGTTAAACCACACAGTCCTTAGAGGAGGGGTTGGACCCCAGATCCCCCTGCTAAGTTGAATACAAAACTATAAGGATACAATGTCATGCCCTCACTTGCACAGTGTCTCCTTTCTCCTCAGCCCAATACATTTTGCATTTGGCTGTGCTGTTTCAACAGGTAGGGTGGAGAGTGCCCCTAGCAGATTATCCTGTATCCGGGGACTTAAGGAGTTCTCCTAGGTGGGTCTGAATCTCCTGGGTGGGTCTGGGTGGGTGAGGAGAGTAGTGTTGTCACCACTACTATACTAACTCTGGTTACAAGAAAGTGGGGGTCTGCCACGGTATTTTCTCAAGAGCCCAGTACAGTGTTTTGTACAGCATTTGGTGTGCTTCTAGAACATGCACCAAATCAAGTCCCAAGGGTAAGAGATAGAAATACATCTGGTTTCTGGATCCTAGTTATTGTTAGGCATAAGTTTCTCAGCCCTGTCAAGACTGAGGTGCTTTTCCAAGATACCTACAAGCAGGATGCTAAGTATTTAGGCATCTTTACCAGAAGGCACAAGTGAGGTCCCTCAAGGTTTAGACAGCAGCTGGATTTGGTTTTCAGGATCTCATTTTTGCACACAATGAAAGGTTTTTAGGTACCAAGTTCCCATCAGTTTTTATAAAGTTTCATTTCCAAATATCCTTGAGGATATTTGTTTCAGCCTTGTAGTTGCCATATGTATTTCTGATCTTCATAACTCTGAGTAATAATGTTATCAGAGTGGACATGGGATTCTACAATGTCTCTCAGACCCTGAGTCCATCAAGGTCACATTTCTGTGCAGGGTTGCAGAAGATACAATATAGGGAACAATCCTGACCTATGAGAGAGCTGAACTGAGGGATTTAGAAGCGATTTATTATTCATGATATCAAACAAGAAGTAAAACTCTACTTCAACAATTAGATCCACTTGTGCAGCCCATCAGCAGAGCTTCACATGGGCCACAGTGCTGAATCCAGCTGCTGTGGATTCACAGGCAAAAAAATATTTTTCACTTTCATCAATCCAGTGTTTACCATGCTGTTACTTAGCTTCTTCTGCGAATGCAAAAGAGCCAGCTTTATCTCTGGTGTAATTCCACTGATTGCAAGGTCTCTAGACACCAATTGTGAAGGGTGCTGTAACCACTACACTGACTTGTCCTCATCAAGCAGTTTTAACACTCACTCCAGCCAGGTACCCTCAGGCTTGGGGACCAGAATGATTTAGGGCTGAATGTCCCCCAGCTCACACTTTTACTTTGTCAGATGGAGAAAATTGGTACAAAAGGGGAGGGAAGTATGGAATACCAAGTACGATCACAGAAACTCCAGTTTTTTCTTTTTACTTGGAAGTTACCCCCAGGTCCATGCTTTCTGCAATCTGTATATTAGGTGCATGGAACAGACACAATAGAAGAAACCCCTGCTGCCAGTGAAGGAGAAGAGACGCTGGGAAGACAATCCATAGAAGAGAAGTCCTATGAGAGACTACTGAAAATAAGTCCTGCTTTTGGAAGCACCAGTATTTGTTGCAGAACAGTGTAGTCCCAAAGTGTAGTCCCAAAGTGTCCCTGCCCCTTGATCATGCTGCTTCTATATCACACACACTGGCATTCCTCATCACTTCTAGGGATTCATATGAGTTAGAATTTATTTAAAACTGCCCAAAAGAAATCCAGTATTAAAAAATCAGCTGTGATTGCTTCTCAGGGACTTGGCTCACATCCTCAATCTATTCAAAGAATTGGGACAAGATTCCACTTCTGTACGGAAGGAAAAATTATCCTGTATATTCTGTACTTAATTGTTGTATACACATTTTAAATAACTGTGAATGGATATTCACTGTTACTAATTCTCTGCAAAGAGTCTCAGGAACAGCAGTCAGGGCTTTCCTGCACTAAACGTATTCCACTGAGTAAAGATACTGAAAGACTTAGGGTCAGGGCCAGCAGCTTTGCCTGTTTTAATGAGAGATAGCACTATCTTCATCTCTTCTTCACTGAAAGGAGCTGTTAGGCTTTGATATGTAGTTGGTTATTTTAGGATGGATGTGGTTTTCTGCTTGATGACCTTGTCAAAACTTTTATCTGGTTCTGGAAAGTTGCCATTTGTGACTAATACATTTGTGATGGCATTTCGTTGAACAGGACAAAGTCTCTGTGGCTTGACCTCTCCAGTTACTCTCTTGCTGATTGACCAAGCCTTTTGGCTTGAATGGGTCATGTCTATGTTTTTTATCATATCTAGCCTCCTGTTCCTCTTCATCTCATTTAGGTGGAGCTCTAGCTCATTGGCGGTGTGACATCTAGCCATGCTATCAGGTGGCTATTCTATAGTCTGCAGTAGTTTGCTGCATTTCTCATCCCAGCAGGGTTTTTACGGTGCCCTCTGGGGGTGGTGGCATGGGCTGTTGTGAGGATCATGGAGGTGAAGTCGGTGATATTTTCAGCAGTAGGTGCTGGTAGTTCATGTGCTGAATCCTCGATCTTCTCAGAGTATAATAAGCAATTAGCCTTACAAAAGTTCCATCTGGATGCCAGTTTACTTGGTGTTTCAAGTACTGTATTGGTAGTTGTTATTATCAATGTGGGGTGGTGTTGTGATTTGGGAAAT